CGGCGGGGGCGGGAGGGGGGCGGCAGCAGCAGCAGCGGGAAGCGCAGCGGGGATAGCAGCAGCAACACGGCGCAGCAAACAGCAGCAGCGGAAGCAGGTGAAACAGCAGCAGCAGCAGCAGCAGCAGCAGCAGCAGCAGCAGCAGCAACAGCAGCAGCAAAAGGGGAAAAATGGATCGTTGGAAACGAGAACAAGCAGAGGCTGCCTTCGGATAGTCTAAAGCCCGTAGACGGCGTGTGCGCAGTAGACCGCCAAACGAGGGTTTAGGGTTTAGGGTTTAGGGTTTAGGGTTTAGGGTTTGCTTGCCTGGGGCGGGTAAACCCCCGTGGCTGCGATGTAGTTGAGGTCTGGGCTGACTCGGACTTTGGAGGAAGCAGCAGGGAACTCGAAGTCCTGCAGCAGCACCACATCCTGCTGCTGCTGCTGCTGCTGCTGCTGCTGCTGCTGCTGCTGCTGCTGCTGCTGCTTCTTGCGGCGCCGCCGGTCCCGCTGCTGCTCAAAGACACTGACACCCCCGAAGCCGCTCAAGTCATAAACAGCAGCACCAACTGCTGTTAGAGTCCGCAGCACCATCTGCAGAAGCAAAAATAATGCTGCTGCTGCTGCTGCTGCTGCTGCTGCTGCTGCTGCGGTTGCTGCTGCGGTTGCTGCTGCGGCCGCTGCTGCTGCTGCTGCGCCGCAAGGAGGAAACTGGTGAAGGCTGCTGCGCTGCAAGAGAGGGGCGAACTGCTGCTGCTGCTGCTGCTGCTGCTGCTGCTGCTGCTGTTGCTGCTGCTGATTAGGTCCTTCGTACTATATTCTCTTGGATTCCCAGGTGTCTGTACACCCCGAACGTTTTAAGCCAGCGAAGTACTGCTGCTGCTGCTGCTCTTTGTGCTGCTGCTCTCTGTGCTGCTGCTCTCGATGCTGCTGCCGCTGCTGCTGCTGCTGCTGCTGCTGCTGCTCTTGCTGCTGCTGCTGCTGCAGCTCCCCGTCAGCTTCTTTTAAAGAAAAATAGAAAAATAATAACAGCAGCAGATCTGTACCCTAATCGCGCTGGGGGGCCCCAGGGGCCCCGGGGCCCCACACTTCTGGGGGCCCCCGTGGCCTCACCGGGGGCCCCGCGGGTCTTTTACAGCGCCATTTTCTGTGCAATTTGGCTCAAAAGGATTTAATTTAAACAAATATTTAAATTTAAATGCAAAAAGAAGAAAAAATTGCATTTATTTGTCCAGATTTTCGTTTAAAAAGTCGAAAATGCGAAATAATTGCGCAGCGGCTGCCGGTCATTTCTCCTGCCCTTCGGGGAATGCGAACGAAAATCTTTCTTTTTGGGCATTCTTTTCCCCTTTTTGTTCATTTTAATTTTATTTTTATTTAATTTTAATTTAATTTTAATTTAATTTTAATTTAATTTAAATTTAATTTTAATTTAATTTCCCTTTTTCTGCATTTTAATGCCTCAACTGCCTCAATTAGGGGCTGTGAATGGCGAGAAGTGACAGTAGCTCGAAGCTGGCTGCGGGCGAGTCCGCGAAAAACACCCAATTAGCGAAAAAAAGGCCAAAAGTGGAGAAATAAAAGCGAAATAAATATTTTTAAATTAAAAATAAATAATTAAAAGTTAATTATTTGCAAAAAAAGCGAAAATGCGAGCGAAATGGGCCAAACGGCGCTTCCTGGCAGTCCGAGAAAGCCTAAATGAGTGGCTGGCGAAAGAAAAATGAAGAGTAAAATAAAAGGCTTTAAGTGGCAAACAATTAAAGGTAAAATGAGAAATAATTTAAAGACAAAAAGGGGAATAATAAAAAGAATATAAATCATAAAAAAGATAAAATGGAAAACAACAAAAAGAGTAAAAGGTGGGAAAATGAAGCAGAAGAAGTGCTGCAAAAACAATAAAATGAAAAAAGAAAAAATGCCTCTGCTAGCTTTTGTTTCGGGGTTTTTTCGGGCCCTTTTAGGGCCCTTTTAAGGCCCTTTTAAGCTCCTTTTAAGGCCTTTTTGAAGCCCTTTGGGGGCCCTTTTGAGGTCCTTTCAAGTCTCTTTTGAGGCCTTTTTTATGGTCTTTTTAGACCCTTTCAAGGTACTTTTGAGGCCCCTTTCAGGGACTTTTAAAAGCCTTTTTAAGGCCCTTTTGAAAGCTCCTTGGGGCCCTTTTTTTGTTTTTTGAGAATCTCTTTTTTGTCCTTCTTGAGGCTTTTTGAAAGTCCTTTTTGAGTCTTCTTTAAGCCATTTTAATTCCTTTTTCGATCTTCTTCAGACATGTTTTGAATCCATTTTACTTTAGACTTTTAAGCCCCTTTCAGGTCTTTTTCGGACCCTTTTTAAACTCCTTTTAGATCTTTTTCAGACTCTTTTCAAAACCCTTTTTTATCTTTTTGGGACCATTTTAAAATCTTTTTTGGATCTTTTCAGGGCCTGTTTTTGATTCTTTTTAGATCTTTCTTGGATATTTTTAAGATCCTTCCAAGCTGTACTTTAAATACTTTTAATATCTTTTTTGGATTTATTTTAAATTCTTTTTAGATCTATTTTAGAACCTTTTAAGATCTTTTTTGGATCTCTCCAAGACTTATTTTAGATCTTTTGAAGAGATTTTTTGGACTTTTTCCAGACCCCTTTTTGATCTTTTTTAAATCTTTTCGAAATCCTTTTTTGAACTTTTTTGAAACTTTTCAAGACCCGTTTTGGATCTTTTTTAAACCCCTCTTAGGCCCTTTGCTGCTGCTGTATTTGCTGCTGCAGTTGCTGCTGCAGCTGCTGCTGCTCCATTTGCTGGTGCAGCTGCTGCTGCTCCATTTGCTGGTGCAGCTGCTGCTGCTGCAGTTGCTGCTGCAGCAGCAGCTTCTGCAGCAGCAGCTGCTGCTGCAGCTGCTGCTGCAGCTGCTGGTGCAGCTGCTGCTGCTGCAGCTGCAGCTGCTGCTGGTGCAGCTGCTGCTGCAGCGGCTGCTGCAGCTGCTGCAGCCGCAGAAATGGGGCCTTGTGTGCTTGCGCCGCCTGTGGGGTTTGGCCCACCTTGGGCTTTTCATTTCAATGCATTTGAAGGCATTAAATATAAAACGAAAATCCTGCTGCTGCTGCTGCAGTTGCTGCTGCTGCAGCAGCTTCTGCAGCAGCTGCTGCTGCTGCAGCTGCTGCTGCAGCTGCTGCTGCAGCTGCTGCTGCAGCTGCTGCTGCAGCTGCTGCTGCAGCTGCTGCTGCTGTTTTTAATGCGTTTAAATGCATTTAAAGGTATTAAATATAAAACAAAAATCCTAAAAGAGCAAAATGTCCGAAGTGTGTAGATGTTGCCAGCTGGTCACTCGCTAGGGTTTAGGGTTTAGGGTTTAGGGTTTAGGGTTGCCGTCACAACCCCGTTTAAATGCGCATTTTGCGCCTTTGCGTGCGCGCTTTTATGTTTAATTGTAAAACAAATAATTGTTAGAATAAAAATTAATAAAATAATATTTATTTTATTAAATATTCATTAAAATAATTATTAAAATAATTACTATTTTAAGAGCGACCTTTCGCGTTTTTTTTGCCAAGTCCAAGTTTATGAAATTAAAATAAATATAAAATAAACAACAAATAATATAAAATAAACAAAAAATAATAAAAAAAAAATAAATAATAAATTAAAAATCCACAAAAAGCCCTTCTGCTGCTTTTCTGCTGCGCAGCTTTCATTCGGGTGTCTGTACACCTGAGGTGTACGTACACCTCAGGTGTACAGACACCGAAGAGGCGACAGCCCCTGGCTGCATTTCGTTGGAGTTTTTCATTAAAAAAGAATATTAAATTAAATAAAATTAATTTTAATTCAAGTTTGATATTTAATTAAATAAAATTAATTTTTATTCAAGTTTGTGAAACAGCGAAGATAATATCTCCGCGCCTCCGCGCGTGCCTGGCCTCTGCTGCTGCTGCTGCTGCTGCTAATGCTGCTGCTGCTGCTGCTAATGCTGCTGCTGCTGCTGCTCGAGGGTTTAGGGTTTACTTTAGGGTTTAGTGGTTTAGGGTTTACTCATATATATATATATACAGGTAAAGAGCCACTCAACTTGCACAGCGATGGTCTGCTGCGCAAGAGGAGTTAGGGTTTAGGGTTTAGGGTTTAGGGTTTAGGATTTGCCAGATAAGTGCAACTGAAAAAGCCCAAAGCTCTTTCGCGAGCCATTTAGTAGAAGCGGGCTGCACATCACTTGTGCTGCTGCTGCTGTTGCTGCTGCAGCGGTGCAGCAGCAACAGCAGCAGCCGCTGCAGCAGCAAAAGCAGCAGAAGCAGCAGCGGCCCCACGCAGCTCATTTGGGGGCCCCCAAATCCTTCAAGTTATCATATTTGGGGGCCCCCTTTAAGCCCAATCCAGCTGCCTTGGGGGCCCCTTTAGGGGCCCCCAAGGGCCCCACCCCACTCCAGGGGGGCCCCCCTGGGGCCCCCGAGGGGCCCCCCTGGAGTCCCCAATAGTTCTTTCTTTGGGGCCCCCTGGGGCCCCCATTAATATTTTCTTTGGGGCCCCCTGGGGCCCCCCTTCATACTTTCCTTGGGGGCCCCCTAGGGCCCCAGTGCCCTCTATTGGGGGCCCCTCGGGACCCCTATGTTTTCACTGGGGGCCCCCCTGGGGCCCCCTTTTGGGGGCCCCCCGGGGCCCCCATTTACAGTCTCTGTGGGGGCCCCCCAGGGGTGCACGGGGGCCCCTTGGGGGCCCCCCTTGGGGGAAAGGATTTGGGGGGTTTGCGCTGCTGCTGCTGGTGATATATGATTGGAAAGAATAATTTTGGATTAAATTTGAATTTAAAAAAATGTTTATAAAAGATTTGTTTTTTGATTTGGAGTTTAAATGAGAAAATGGATTGGGTTTGATTTTGTGTCGAGCGGTGGCTTGGGGTGTACGTACACCCCAAGTTGCAGCGGCGCGCGCGGGCGGGCGGAAAAAGCGGGAAAAGGATTTTTAAATTTGAGTTAAAAAATGAAAATAAAAATAATTAATTAATTTAAATAAATAATAAAGACAGAAAGCCGGGCTTTTGCGGCATGCGGCGGGGTTTTCAGCGTCTGCTGCTGCTGCTGCTGCTGCTGCTGCTGCTGCTGCTGCTAAGCCCCAAATTGCGTCTCGATTGCTGCCATTTGTTGATTTGGAGGTTCTTTTGATTGTCTTTTTATCTTTTTACCTCCTTGTCTTTAAAGTCCTTTCTTTTGAGCCGAAAAAGCGGAGCAGGGGGCCGCAGCTGCTGCTGCTGCTGCTGCTGCTGCTGCTGCTGCTGCTGCTGCAGCAGCAACCGTCTCGAGGGTTACTTGCTCTTCTGGCTGATCACTGCAGCGTTTTAGTTTGTTGCTTCAGACCCTTGCGCAGCGTGGGGCGGGGCTGCGGGCCAACCCCGAAACCCTAAACCCTAAACCCTAAACCCTAAACCCTAAACCCTAAACCCTTTCTCCAGCGGCCGCTCACGGGGGCAGAGAGGCCGCCTTTTGCTGCTTTTATTTTCCCCCTTTTCTTGTTTTCTTCTTTTCAGATTTTCTTTTTTGTTTTTCTTTTTATTTGTCTTTTTGTCTTTCGGCCTTCTTTTGGCGGATTGTTGTTTATTGTCATTTGTTCTTTCCCTTTTTGTTTTCTGCTGCTGCAGCGCAG